AACAACCGAGAAGTATGTAATAAGCTCAACATGAGATTCAAAGAAGTGTTCACAGAAGAGACAGAAAAAGCTCCAGAAAGACGGAGAGGTGGGGGTACACCAAGTTTTGGACACAATACATACAACCGAGGAAAAAGTGAAGTGAAGAGACTGCTATGCGAGCTAGATACCTCAAACGCCATGGGGCTCGATAATATCTCTCCATGGGTCCTGAGAGAGGGAGCAGAGGTGCTATGTGTATCATTAACATCAACCTTTAACACATCTAACAAAACAGGGCAACTACCTAAAGTATGGAAGACAGAAAATGTAGTCTCAATCTTTAAAAAATGAGACAGACACGAAGCATTAAACTATAGACCAGTGTCACTGACATGTATAGTATGCAAAGTCATGGAGAAGATTATCAGGAGAACAGTGGTGGAGTACCTTGAAAGATATGAGCTTATCAACGACAACCAGCACGGTTTCAGGGACGGGAAATCCTGTGTCACAAACCTACTGGAGTTCTATGACAGGGTGACAGCAGTAAAACAAGAGAGATAGGGGTGGATAGATTGCGTTTTCTTGGACTGTAAAACGGCTTTTGACACAGTTCCCCGCAAGAGATTAAGGCATAAGCTGTAAGGCCAGGCAAGTATAACAGGGAAGGCAATACAATGGATCAGGGAATACCTGTCAGGAAGACATCAGCGAGTCATGGTACGTGACGAGGTGTCAGAGTGGGCACCTGTAACGAGCGGGGTTCCACAGGGGTCAGTCCTAGGACCGGTGCTGTTTCTGGTATATGTGAACGACATGACTGAAGGAATAGACTCAGAAGTGTCCCTATTTGCAGATGATGTGAAGTTGATGAGAATAATTCAATCGGATGAGGATCAGGCAGAACTACAAAGGAATCTGGACAGGCTGCAGGCCTGGTCCAGAAACTGGCTCCTAGATTTCAACCTCACCAAGTGCAAAGTCATGAAGATTGGGGAAGGGTAAAGAAGACCGCAGACGGAGTACAGTCTAGGGGGCCAGAGACTACAAACCTCACTCAAGGAAAAGGATCTTGGGATGAGTATAGTACCAGGCACATCTCCTGAGGCGCACATCAACCAAATAACTGTTGTAGCATACGGGCGCCTAGCAAACCCAGGAATTGTTTTCCGACATCTCAATAATGAATCGTACAGGATCCTGTACATCGTGTGTCAGGCCTATATTGGAGTATGCAGCACCACTTTGGAATCCACACCTAGCCAAGCATGTAAGGAAATTAGAGTACTCGCAAAGGTTTGCAACAAGGCTAGTCCCGGAGCTAAGGGGCATGTCCTACGAGGAGAGGTTAAGGGAAATCGACCTGATGACACTGGAGGATACGAGAGATAGGGGGGATATTATAACGACATGCAAAATACTGAGAGGAATTGATAAGGTGGATAGAACAGGATGTTCCAGCAACAAGGGATCACAATTGGAAGTTGAAGACTCAGATGAATCACAGGGATGTTAGGAAGTATTTCTTCAGTCCCAGAGTTCTTAGGAAGTGGAATAGTCTGGGAAGTGATTTAGTGGATGCAGGATCCATAAATAGCTTTAAGAAGAGGTAGGATAGAGTTCATCGAGCAGAAAGGGTGACCTAGTAGCGACCAGTGAAAAGGCAGGGCAAGGAGCTGTGACTCGACCCCTGCAACCACAACTAGGTGAGTGCAACTATGTGAGTACAGCACTACCAGCTATCACCCTCTACAGCACCACCACCTCCTAACATCTTCCACAGCAATACCATCACCTAACGTCCTCCACAGCACCATCACCATCACCTGATAAAACTTCCACAACACCACCTGACGCAGCACCATTCTTTTTCAACCTTCACAGCGGGTCGTTCACACGTGATCTCTCACAGGTGGTCTTTCACAGGTGATCATGCACATTGATCGTACACAGGTGGTGCACAGTCGTACGCAAGTGGTGACACATTCAAGTGCTAGAGAAGCTTCGCAAAGGGTCACTAACTTACAGGTTTCACTGTGTAACCTGGGCCCTCTTCTGACCGGTTGTGTTAGTTGTTGAGTGATGGCTCTCTCACCTTCAGTGTTGCGTACACACACACACACACACACACACACACACACATATCAATAACAATACTGCGACTAGCCGAGGACTCGAACCCATGTCATTTTGGCCCGCCCAGTGGTGAGCGAAAATCACACATGACGCTCTAACCCACAGGACCACGCAATCCTACAAGAATCACGCACCCAGCAGAGCTAGGTGTTTTACCGTGATCCGAGGACATATGGTGGTGTGGGTGCCTCTGAGCTAATTTCACTCTACTCCCCTTTTGGTGTACTAGCTCACCATGAGGCGGGCCAAAACGACATGGGTTCGAATTCTCGGCCAGTCGCAGTGTTGTTATTGATTCAATACCACTTGTTCGTGGTTACAATAATATATATATATATATATATATATATATATATATATATATATATATATATATATATATATATATATATATATATATATATATATATATATATATATATTATTGTGACCACGAACAAGTGGTATTGGCCGAGGATTCGAACCCACGTCATTTTGGCCCTGCCTTGTGGTGAGTGAAAATCACATGACGCATTAGCATACAGGATCACACAATCCTACATAAACCAAGCACCCAGCCAAGCTAGGTGTGTTACTCTTGGTCTGAGGACACATCGCACAACAAAGCAACACCTCGCACACGCGTGACGACACCCGACTCGGTGAAACCCATTTAATACTCTACCCAAGAATTAATAATTATCACTTGTTTAATGTATCATTAAATTCTTCCCAAATTTTATTAATTATAAATGAATCTAATTTATATAAACCAAAGGAAATATTCATATTATTTTCAAAACTGCTTTTTATTTAACATGATATCAACTGTTTATACATGGTATCACCTGTTTATACATGATATCACCTGTTTATACATGATATCACCTGTTTATACATGATATCACCTGTTTATACATGATATCACCTGTTTATACATGATATCACCTGTTTATACATGATATCACCTGTTTATACATGATATCACCTGTTTATACATGATATCACCTGTATACTGTGAACTTATTTGCTTATATATACACAAGTAATCGAAGACAAAATAGAGTAACTCAGAAAGAGGAGAAGAGGAAGAACAAGACGCTGAGTGAAGAGACAGACTTATTAAGAGAATAGAAGATGATCGAGCTGAGGGAAATCAAACAATGAATAATTGTTAATAGTAAGATGATGGAACCAAGTTAACGTAAATATTGCAAGTGACAGAGGATGTTATAAAGACTTTTTAGATCATTTTACAATATTTGTAAATAATTTATATATTTAAAAAAAAATCAAAGTAAAAGTCCATAAAAATAAATATTATTGTTGAATATTTCATATATTTTTAAAAAAAATATTACACCAGAAAGGAAAATTATTTAATGATTATATATGATTATTAAGGGTTAATAAAACGTGAATGTGGGAGAGGAAAATTAGAGGCGATACTCTAGAAGATTTTATACCAGTTAGGATATCAATTTAGACAGAAATTAGATGGTATTATTCTAACAGTGGGATTGAGTCTTCAAACAGACACAATAAAGCATCAGGTATAAAACAGAAAATCAGACTTCGGTAAGCGCGGAAGGTACGCTGGAATATGCGTAGAGATCGAAGCGATAGTTACAGAAAACCACAGAGAAATTTGTGAGGAATTAAGCAGATTTGAGGAGTCAGTCACTGAGAAAACAAGGTTAAAGGAAGAATGCATAGTTAAAGGAACTAATTAGCGTATATTAGAATTTATTTCCAAATGGAGGAAGTAATGAAAGTACCAAAAGTGTTAAATACGTGAAAAGTCATGGGGCCTGATGGTATGTAGCCAGAGGTACTGAAAGGAGAGGAAGAATTATGTGAACCCGTAGCCATGAACTACAGCATGCCGCTATAATAATAATGATAATAATAATAATAATAATAATAATAATAATAATAATAATATCTTCATTTACAAGTACATGTACAGATCATAGCTGACATCAATGACATACTACTATATAGAAAGCCGCTTGTTATGCAGAGCATTTCCCGCAAATTAGGTCAGTTTTGTCCCAGGATGCGACCCACACCAATCGACTAACACACAGTTACCCATTTTATTGATGGGTTAATATAGACAACCAGTGTAAGGAAACACGTCCTATGTTTCCATCCCTTCTCCGGGAATCGAGCCCGAATCCTCACCGTGTGACGCGAGAGCTTTTGCCACCAGGCCACGGAGCACCAAGACAAGAAGCCTAGCAGATAGCTGGAAAACTACAAAAGTGATCCCAGTATACGAGCAGGAGACAACCAAGATCCACTGAATCCTGTACAGGTATCTTTGATGCGTGTACTCTCCAAGTTACTGGAAAACATTGTTGGGAAAAGTCTGGTAGCACCTACAAATATCGACTAGTTTACAGAAAACCATCAAGGATTTATGGAAGGTAAGACTTGCCTTACTAACCTCTTGAAGTTCTATGATAGAATGACGGAAATCAAGCAAGAGAAAACAAAGATAGGTCAGCTGCATTTGACTCTGTGACTCACGAAATCGTAATGGCACGATTGCAAACCGCCCGTGGTATGGTTTGACTCTGTGCTCTACTAGAGACTGGCTCACAAATTTGAGGAGCAAACAGGGATATAAGGTAAAGTTATACAATGGATCAAAGAATACCTAATGAACAGAAGACACAGTATGATGATAAGAGATCTTTCAGAATGGGAAAGTGTAACAGGTGGGATTCCCCAAGGATTAGTTCTAGGGTCGTTAATATTCTTAGTTTATGTATATGACCTGCCAGAAGGGATTGCCTCAAATGTCTCAATGTTTACTGGTGGCATAAAACTAATGAGAAGAATTCAAACGAAAGAAGATAGTGAAAGCAGCAGAGGGACATGAATAAAATGAAAGAATGGTCGAACTAGTGGTTACTGGAGTTCAACCCAAGCAAGTGCAAGGTCATGACAAACTGTGGATGGAAATAGGCGGCAACTCACGAAATACAGCTTTAGAGGCGAGAAACTGCAAAAATATCCCTCAAGAAGATCTTGGAGTGAGCATCACACCCAACATATCACCCGAGGTGGACATAAATCACATAACATCTGTAACGTATGAGGGCAGCTAATCTCAGAACTGCCTTCAGAAACCTTAGTAGAGAATATTTCAGGACTCTCTACATGACTTGCGTGCGGCTCCCATCTGATCAGACATCTTTGTCAACTAGAAAAGGTGTAAGGGTTTGTAACCAAACTTTCCCAGACCTGAGAGGATTAAGTTAAGAGGACAGACTAAAGGAACCAAACTTGACGACTTTACAAATAAGTACGATTAGCAGAGACATAATTACGACATTCAGAGTACTCAGAGGCTTTGGCAGAGCAGATGAGGGGCAGATTTTTGAAGTGAGAAGCGATGGGACATAGACAGAACCTATAAACACAAATAAGCCTTAGGGACGGAAGAATTTAATTTTTTCTGTCGCAGTGTGGAAAATGAATGGAATGAGCTAAATGAAGAAATGGTAGAGGCAAACTTAATGCACTGTTTCAAAAGTAGGTATGACACGGTCCATGTGGTAGGAAGCCAATAATTTCTGCAATTTTAGTTTTAGAGGTGGGTCAAGAGCTGAGAATCAACCCCTGTAAATGCAGTTGTGTAAGTACAACTTGTGTACACACACACACACACACTAACATAAAGTACATCACAAGTACTTGTACATGGTACCTACGTCTATAGAAGAAGTACGTAGGAACTGGTAAAGAAAACCATTTTGAAGCAAGACACGTTTTAATTGAAACTGACAGGAGACTCCAGCAGTGGTCCGTCTGCCTCGCCCTCCTGACTCGGACTCGGGTACTATAGTACATAAACAATAGCTTACCTGATAGTCCAGCGATACGTTTAAATATAAATGTGATATCTGGTTTCTTGTATTAAAGCGCTATCGGCATGCGAGCTAGACTGAGATAAATGAATTCATTAACATTACGCCATGCAGCTCTGCAGGAAATCTTATTTGAATTCTTAATTCGATTTTGCGTCATGGAAAATATTAAGTTGATGCAAATGAGAAAGTTGTAAAAATAGAGAGATCATAGAAGTAATTAATAATCAGTAATGCACAGAGTCAGCAAAATCAGCAGAGGCATCAATATTCAGCAGACTCTCGCAAGAATTTTTTTTACATTCTTTAATTTTGTATACAAACAATCTTATTAAAACTGTAACCTGGTAAGGAAGCAGGTTATTTACTTTTCCAAGACCCGAACTCGTGAAAAGAAATTTACAGCCGCAAAATATTAAATATATTACATCTGTGTAGGCTGAAAACTCTGTGATTAATTTTGCATACGTGATATTTAAAATAACATAAAAATAACTTTGATGCACAGAAACTCAATTATAACATTTGCTGAATAGCATTTCCAAAAAGATTATAAAGAAAATACACTGAATTTAATAAACAAGACTTGTGATACATTAAATATACCACATACGTAATTAAATATATAAAGGATATTGACACCGAGATCTGCTAATACGAAATTTCCTTACGTTTTCTCAGACTAAAAATCTGACCGAGAAGACGAGTGGCTGAGGACGTGAAGATTTGCTATATGACGTATATTTCTAGATCTAACTTCATATGTGAACTAACTTGGGCTGTATCAGTTCTTTGATCAGAAAAAAGTGTAGTAACAGTAGATATACTGTCTTTTGTTAGTTTTTTAGTCATCATTATCACCAGCACCATTTTTTTAGTCATTATAGTCTTGATGGACTGAACACATCGACTCCAGGCTGAGGGACTGATTACCTCAAACTCCTCCTAATCTTCCACTGTTATTCTCTGTACTGGACTGAAGAAGCCACTGGCTGGCGAAACGTTTCCTCACTAAAGATTCCCATATGTTGCACAAGTGTCCCAGTCTTCAACTTGTCGGTTTTCAAAACCATTCTCATCATACCTGCGCACCCACCACCTAACCTGACCCATTATATATACTCCGTGTGTTCTGTTTCTGTATTTGATTAAAAAAAACTGATTAGCTCAACATCTTAATAAATGACATTGTTATCGTAATGCATATGTGTCTTTCTTGGATAGTTGCCAGTGTTAGCTGCTATTACCTCGGTGAGAGAAAGAGAGAGAGAGAGAGATTTAGATTTATATTCTTTGGGTTTAACTCCAATCGACTTCACCAGGACCCTTAAGACCGCATGTAAATACGTTTAGAGAGAGTACACTTCTCGGTGTATATATCCTGTGTATACTTCACAACAGAATCTTCAACATAACACCGGGACTTAATATTACACAGATATGTTCAACTCCTTTACCAATCATCGCCTCTGTTATAACACTAATAAGTATTCATTCATAGCCAAATATTGCTTACTGTTTCCAGGAGTTACTATATGTCTCTATTGGCCGTAATTTGTCTCGTCCTCTGTTATAACTTATATTTTTAAAAGGGTGGACCGGTAAGGCAACTGAAGACCTCTATCAGATGACCAAAAATTCCATCTGTAGGTCATCATATGACTCAGTCCCGCGTCAGGAAACATATGAACTGTTTCCTGATAAACCTTACCTAACCTAACCTTCCGTGCGGCCAACTCTGCTTTTCAGCGGTGAAAAGTAGCAATAAATGGTCGTCTATACGAGATTTTTTGCCTTCATCTTTCGGCTCATTCCAAAATTCGGTTGCTTATCTGGCTTTAAAGCCTATTGTCTACACCAAGGTCATTAAGACTAGATATCACTTGTTCACTAATAGTCAGAATTGCCTTAACCCCTAAAATACGAAATAAAGCAAAATCAGTGTATATACACTGAGAGACATACACCTCTCAGTATATATACCCTGTGTTGCCAACCTCGAACCATATCATATATGTTAAAAGATACGCCAATTGTCGTTAAGATAACAGCACCGTAATGGTCTACCTCGACCACAATCTGTTTGACACTGTCAGAACTTCAAATTCGATATTTTGTACCCTTTCGTGTGGCATTGGCCTCATTTGCATTTAAAGTGAAATTTCTCAGACTGGCTTAAAACTTACCAGCTGTAATCCCACAGACTTTGAGAGAAAGAAAGAGGGTATTAAGGGAAGGAGACGCAATGAAGTCAGTGGATGAGAGGAGAGACCAGGAATGGATATGGTAGGCGGGATTAATGAAGCCGAAGGTAATTATAAAGACGATATGGATAGTTAGTTGTTAATTGGGGTTAAAGTCTCAGTAACGCTTCTTAAAACCTGTTCACCACAGTTGCCAACACTCTAAACTATTCACTGAGTAAATAGTCAGCGAATATTCAAGACTGAGATAATTATTTGTGTAAGGACAACACTACGATCCAGGCTGCCAGTCGCAGGAGTTGTGTATTGCAAGATAGAAGGGCATTTTAACTTTAGTTTCGGCACGTCTGGCAAGACAGTAAGGGTGAAAGCAATTTTTTTTAGATCACTCAACCTTGGTGGGACACAGCCGGTGTGTAAAAAAAAATCTATACAATATTTGGGCATTAAGGCGTAGGAAGTTTGTCCGAAAATTTCAAGAATGAACCAATAGTTAAGGAGTTGGTAAAAAAACCTAAAAGAAATTTATGAGTTCAAATAATAGTGCTGAAAGTTTTTCTAATGGTAAAAGTGACATGACAAAAGTGAGGGAAACCAATGTTGTGTAAAGTAACTCAGGGAAGTTTCAAATTTGTATCCAAATATTTCTATATTTTTGACTTAACAACTTGTAAGTGGAAACAAATATTTTGAAAAAAGTTAGTTATTTTATTCAACTCCAAATTAATTTAAGTAAAAATCCTGGTGTTTAAGGCTGGTGGTCCATTGGACAGAGTGATGCGCACTGTGGTCAGTTCACACAGGACTGGGCATGGCAACTCAGGATCGAGTCCTGGCCAAGCCGCAGTTCTGTTAATGTTATATATATATATATATATATATATATATATATATATATATATATATATATATATATATATATATATATATATATATATAATATATATATATATATATATATCATTAACATATAACGCTTTCACCATCACTCTCTTGCCAGAAGTGCAGAAACCACAGTTAAGATGTCCCTCCACTTTCAACACCCAAAACCTTGAGATTGCAGGCACTGTACCTCCTACCTCCAGGACTCGAGTCCGGCTTGCCGGTTAATAATATAATAATAATAATATGTTTATTTACTACAAGTACATGTACAAGGTATACAGACCATAGCTGATATCAGTGACATACTACTATATAGAAAGCCGCTTGTTATGCAGAGCATTTCCCGCAAATTAGGTCAGTTTTGTCCCAGGATGCGACCCACACCAGTCGACTAACTCCCAGGTTCCCATTTTACTTATGAGGAAAATAGACATCCGGTGTAAAGATACAGGCCCAGTGTTTCTACCCTCGCTGGAAATCGAACCCAGACCGTCGCCGTGTGAAGAGAGAGCTTAAGCCACCAGACCACGGGGTTTCCCTGAATCCCTTTGTAAATATAACTTACTCACACACCAACAGCATGCCAGGTAAATAAAACCACTTGCCTCCAATCACTCCCATTTAACACGCTCACACACCCCTGTTGGATGTCTAAGACCCTCGCGTACAAAACCTCCTTCACCCACTGGTTCCAGCCTTTCCTAAGGCCGTCCCAACCCGCCTTCCCTCCAATACAGATTTACACACCCTTCCAGTCATCCTATTTTGCTTCATTTTTTTTCTAAATACCAGAAGAACCTTAACAACCCCTCCTCAGCCCTCTGGATAATACTTTTAGTAACTCTGCACCTTCTTCTAATCTCCAAACTACGGATTTTTTGTCTAATATTCACACCGCACATTGCCCTAAAACACATCTCCATTGTCTCCAGCCTCCTGGTTGCTGCAACATTCACAACCCATGCTTCACATCCAATTAGAGTGTTGATTACCACTTCACTCTTATACAATTCCCTTTTTGGCTCCATGGATAATGTTATATTTCTCCATGGATGTCTCAGTGCACCACCCACCTTTTTCATCTAGTCAGTTCTATGGTTCACCTCATCCCAGATATCTGAACACATTCACTTCCTCCATATTCAGCCCTTCCAATCTTATATCCAACCTTTCATTATCTAAACTTTGTTATTACCCTCATCACTTTGGTCTTTCCAATGTTCACTTCTTGTTTTACATACCCTCTCAAATTCATTAACCATCATTTGCAACTTTTTTTTCAGAATCTCCCGAAAGTACAGTGTCATCAGCAGAAAGCAACTGTGACAACTCCCACTTTGTATTAAATTCTATTTTAATACCACCCCTCTTCCTAACACCCTAAAATTCATTTCTTTTACTACCCCATCTATAAATGAATTAAACAACCATGGAGACATCACGTATCCATTACTGGAAAAATAATCTCCCTCTCTCTCTCTCCTACTTAATCTAATCTGAACCTTACTATCCTCATAAAAACTCTTAACTGCTTTCATTAGCCTTCCACCTATTCTATACACTTGCTACATCTACGACATTGTTTCCCTATGCACCTTATCATATACCTTTTTTAAAACCATAAATGCAACGACAACGTCCTTACCCCTTGATCTATACACTCTCTACCCTTTCTAAAACCTCTATGTTCATCTGCGATACTGCTCTCCGTTTTACCCTTAATTCTTTCAGGTAATAACTCTACCGTACACTTTACCTGGAATACTCAGTAGTCTTATTTCCCTATAATTCTTACTCTCTCTTTTTTTTTTTTGACACTGTTTAGCATGATGGATTAAAATATAAACTCTGTACCTCCTTTCATTTCACAATAAATATGATAAAATTGTTATTTAACTTTTTTGATGACCGCACGATGCGTATACGATTTAGTAATCAATGTTCGGACTATTTCACCTTATATGCAGGTGTTCCTCAGGGATGTCCTATCTCCTACACTATATATTCTTTACACAAATGATTTACCAGAACAACTATATCCAAATACACTTACACTATCCTATGCAGATGACATTACACAATTCACAACACATGAAAACATTAGATTCTTAGCACGCAGAACACAACGGGAGGTCGACAGGATTACTGCATGGGAATTACAATGGAGAGTTAAAACCAACCCGAACAAATCAAAGATAACGTACTTTCACAGAAGGCGAGAAGTCCCAATTCCCATCGAACTCAAGATGAGCACCTCCCGCACACCTATCCCACGCACCTCTTCCACAATTATCCTTGGGGTTACCTTAGACAATAGCTTAAACTTTCAAACCACACATCACTGCCAAGACTGCAATGGCTAAGATTGCACTCTTGAAGCTTTATAAGCTAAAAGGAATGCATCCTAAGACAAAATTACACCTCTATAAAGCCATCATTCGACCTCTTCTTACATATGCTCCACTTGCTTTGACGTTAACTGCTAAAACAAACGCTTTAAAATTCCAACGTATCCAGAATCGAGCATTACGTTGGGTGTTGGGAGTGAGGTGGGACGATTTCACCACCAGTGATTCTCTTCATCTCACAACCAACACACCAGCTCTGAACGAGTACTGGAAGACACTAAGTGACAAACAACTTGACAGACTTGAGACATACCATGACTATTAGACTTCATATTTAGGAGACACTGTCAGGCGTCCTTATAATAATGTAAATCTCTTCTCCTCTCTTTATGACCCCATTCCTCCTCCCCGATACACCTAAGTTATATGTCATATCTTGCAATATTATCCTTTAGCTGCCATTGTCGTTGAGCGGGTCCCTGAATAATTTGCGATAATGATTGCGCCATCTTTCCATAGTCCTAATTTAATTGTTGCGTGCCCAGTCTTGCAATGATACCCTCGAGAGTAAACTGTTACATCTATGCTTCCTTTGATTAGCAGTTGGGTCTAGTCCCGACACTTTTTCTCTTATCTAAAAATTTTCCTCTCCCCCATCTATTCTTCTTCCTTCCCCCACTTGCCCCTCGCCCCTAGTGGGTCCTTACCTGTGAGTGCTCATTCATTCATTCATTCTCTCTTTTTCCCATAGCGATCCACAGAGAATGCTGAGCCTTTGCTCGTTTTCTTTTATCTATTACCTGCTGTTATGATTTCGAGTTATGCTTAACCTATTTCTCATTGCAGATTAATTTAGAATTTTCTACTCTGTAATTATTTCTGTTATCTTCCAATTGTCTTAATGAAAGATGGTTTACATACCTACATTTTTAGTGGTTAGATCCCAAAAGCCTCTCAACAGATGGATTCTAACTCCTTGTTCTCTTCTTCCTTCCACACGGGGAAGCGATAACCCTAAATTCTTCTAGACAATGGTGACATTGGCCTCCCCTCTTGTGCTTTTTCATACCCGATCAGGACAAGATAAATGGCAATTATTTCCTGGACCGCTGATTATGGCTTCCAGTTTTGTTTATAACACCATTCATTGCACAGTGTTGCTTGGCAATTAGTTCCTGGACCGCTGATTATGGCTTCCAGGAGTATTTATAACACAATTCACTGTGCAGTGTCGCTAATATATTAAGGATAAATTTATTTTCAAGTTTCAAAACTTTCTTTCTTTTCTCCCCGCAGATGGTCACAAGGTCTGCTGTTCCACCAGGCTCTGGTGGACTGCGGAAGAGCAGCCATACTGATCCCGCTTGGTCGGTCCATCTACAGCTGTCTGCCAGTGACGAAATGCTCGCTGGTGGAGACAGCTTTCCTGCTGCTGGTCACCGTGTCAACTATCAACATGTTGACAACGGTATTAAGTCAA